TTACGAGACATCCTGCCTTCACCTTGGAGGATAATATAGGGTCTCGAGACCTGCTTCTTTCCACCTACTAGATATTTGTTCTCTTTACGTGTGGTTATGATGACCTTTTCATAAAATTTCTATTTATTCTGAAGATAAACGCGCATGATATGGATAAGTATTATTCTATAAAATCCCGAGTATTTTTGTTACTAAAAAATCTCTTGCGTTAATTTTTATTCATCTTTTTATTTAAACAACTTTCGTCTTTAGACCTAAGCAACAGCCGAACAATAATGCACCTTGTTTATTTGCAGGAGCGTTTCTTATACCGTTCACTGTGATGCTTATCATCGCTGGTTTGCCTCTTATGTTTATGGAGCTATCATTCGGACAGTATGCTGCTTTGGGCCCTGTGGCCGTGTACAACAAATTCTGTCCACTATTTCAAGGACTTGGGTACGGCATGGTGATAGTTTCTAGTATCGTCATGCTGTACTACAATCTGATCATTGCTTGGACGATTTACTACATGGCTGTGTCGTTTATGAGCATTTTCTACCAACTTCCCTGGCAGAATTGCGATGCTGAATGGAGCACTGAACGTTAGTATTATTTCTTTAAAGACTATTCATTTTATTACTGGTCTAATCTACAAAAATATTGGTCCTTTTGTGGATTTTAGTGACTTTACGATTTTAATCTTTTTAGATTGCTACTCTTACGAGGAAGCCGACTTATGTGAAGCGGTAAATGGGACGTACTATTTGAGACAATGCTTCAATCAGACATACGCTCAGTTACACAATATCAATGCTTTGGCTGACGTGGCACTTCGTCGACCACCGGCAGAGGAGTATTTTACGTAAGAACCCTTTTATTGTTATATCTCTGTGTAGGTACCTAGTCCCTACGTATCTTTGTGAGCTATTCAATAATAGTCTATGAAACTACTAGTCTAGTTGAATACCAATGCTAGATTTTTCATCATCTCTTGAAAGTCTTCTCTCTTAGTCAGTGGATAATATAGAAACTTATTTTTTCTTGTAGAAACCAAGTGTTGGGCCTTTCATCTGGCATTGAAGAAACTGGACAAATCCGCTGGGGTATGGCCGTGTGCTTACTGGCAGCATGGCTCATAGTGTTTCTGTGCTTGTGTAAGGGCGTTCAGTCTTCGGGGAAGGTGAGTACCAATAAATTTATCACAAATTATTCTATCTTAACTCGTCGAGTACCGGTTTTGTAGACACAATTATAGAACAATAGGTTGCGGTCACCGGTGACCGCTTGGTGTTTGACAGTTTAAATACGATCTTTTCAAATCAACACTTTCGCGTAACCGTAAAAGATGACGTCATAAATGTAAAGTGAACTTAGGCAATTATTGAGAACTTCAAATCTCCTATAAAACAATGGCCAACCTGGAAAATGAATCTAAGAAGGGACTACTAAAGAAGGATCTTTTCAATACATTGTTCAATACATACACGACGGTAAAAATCCTCTCTATTCAGAGTTACCTTCGCAATCGTTTTAAATATTGACATGAAAATTTTCAACACAGCATCAATTGATATAAGTAGTATTTCTCAGCATTGTCTTACTTTTCAATAATACAGTACTTGACACTTCCCGACGTTATTTAAGTAACTTTCGTTCCAATGACAATAACATACCTATCAGGTGAACCATGAAATGTTTTGGGAACTTACTTCCCAAAGAAGGTATTCAAAACATTTCATATTACTTTATATAAATCTTCCGTTACTTAATTCTTAAACAACTAACGAATCTTTTATATTTGTATAGGAAATTTTAAAATGGCTTCTTTGATTTTCATCAATTAAAATTAATACAGAAAGAATTACTGAATGTGGTAAAATGGAATGTGATGAAAAACTACTAAATGTAGTATCTGAAACCGTGTTGACATCAGTCAGTCCTTAGGTGTTTTAAAGTTGGGTAAACTACATAATGTGTAGTAATTAAGGAGTGTTATAGGCTCCTATTAAGAGTAACGCTTCAATATTTATAGTTTCCTAAGTCTGTTACCTCTAAATTTACTTTTTTATTCCAGGTTGTGTATTTCACGGCACTTTTCCCGTACGTCGTGCTAGTTATTTTGTTCTTCCGTGGAGTAACGTTACCTGGTGCATCGACCGGAATCCTTTTCTATTTGACACCTGACTTCAGCCAACTTCTAAACGCTCAGGTAGGTCAAAAATATTTCACTAAAGTTTTTTTTTTATAGCTTAAGCCGGTAAACGAGGATGGAGGAAAGGATTCGGAGATTCGGGAGACTAGGGAGGGGAGTAATTGGGCCTCCAGTAACCTTAGTCATACGACGAAACACAACGCAAGCGTTGTTTCACGTCGGTTTTCTGTGAGGCCGTGGTATAACTCCGGTCGAGCCGGCCCATTCGTGCCGAAGTATGGCTCTCCCACACTTACTACATTTTCTAGGAAACATATAACATTGAATATCTATTTCAGGTTTGGGGTGACGCTGCTGTACAAATATTTTTCGCGCTGAGTCCCGCTTGGGGTGGTCTTATTACACTTTCATCTTACAACAAGTTTTCCAACAATTGCTACATGTAAGTGAATTTTTTTATCATTTTGTTATCGTTCAACGTATTTAATGAAACATATAAAGAGAGAGACGGACCTCTGAGTTTGTTTCGGCATTACTTCGCAGAGTATTCAGTTAGGAATTGTCGGTCTCATCGTTCGCTTGATAAAATTGACGTGTAAAAGTGCTGCCTTGTAGCATATTTGCAGAAATAAATTCACTTGTTTCACTAGATGTTCACGTTTACATTTCCTTTGCAGAGATTCCTTGATCGTGGCCGTGTCAAATATTTTAACGTCTTTCTTCGCTGGTCTGGTCATATTCTCTGTAATCGGATTTCTGGCTCATGAGTTGAATGTGGAGGTTGACCGAGTAGTTGACCAAGGCGCTGGGCTTGCTTTCATCGTGTATCCCGAAGTAGTCACTCGGCTGCCCGTATCACCACTTTGGTCTATACTATTCTTTGTCATGCTACTTACCCTGGGCCTCGATTCACAGGTAAAAACCAACTCTTAGTTGTAATATATTTTATTATTGTAAACTTTTAACAAAACATAACATCACGCCTTTTATCCCCGAAGGGATAGGTAGAGGTGTACATTACGGCACTTAATGCCACTGTACAATGTAACACCCACTTTTCCTATTTATATTATGAGTCTCATGTAATAGGGGGTGAGCCTATTGCCATATACCGGGCACAATTTCAGACTCCGTGCTACCACTGAGATTTTTAGGAAAAACCCAGTAATGCTTTGCCCGACTCGGGAATCGAACGCGAGACCTCTTACCCGGCAGTCGCCGTTGCGACCACTCGGCCAACGAGGCAGTCTTTTTCTACATAATTAATCAAATTAATATTTTACATTTTAGTTTGCACTCATGGAAACAGTTACAACGGCAATATTGGACAGGTTTCCAAATTTCCGCCAGAAGAAAGTGTGGGTCGTGTTGACAGTTGCTGTTTTTGGATATCTCGGTGGACTTATTTTCACAACCAATGTAAGATGATAATTTTTCTTTAAAGTAACATTACATTATATTTTATTGAGTATCATTTCATAACATAACATCACGCATTTTATTTCCGAAGGGGTAGGCAGAGGTGCACATTATGCCACTGTACAATATAACACCCACTTTTCACTATTTATGTTATGTATGAGTCCCATGTAATAGGGGTGAGCCTATTGCCATATACCGGGCAGAATTCCAGACTCCGTGCTACTACTGAGATCTTTTTTAAAACCCAGTAATACTATGCCCGCCCCGGGAATCGAACCCGAGACACCTTGCCCGGCAGTCATCATATCATTTCATTTATTTTAAATATCATTATTATTTTTCAGAGTGGTATGTACTGGTTGCAATTAATGGACAAGTACGCTGCAAATTGGTCTGTTTTGATCATAGCAATTGGCGAGTGCATTCTGATAGCTTGGATCTACGGGGCAGAAAAGTTCTGTGGTGACATTCAGCGGATGATCGGACGCCAGACCAAGTTATGGGTGTTCTTTTGGAGTGCTATGTGGCGTATTATTACACCAGCCGCTTTAGTGGTACGTATATTTTAATTTATTTAGGATAAAATATTTGTGATTATTAATCATTTGAGAGTAAGATAAAATATAGCTATTTTTTTCTCATCTACAGTTCATCCTGGTATTCAACTGGATTGAGTACAAACCAGCTTCATACGGCTACTATGTGTACCCGATGTGGGCCGATGCTGTCGGTTGGATCCTGGGTGTACTACCTGTCATTGTTGTTGTGTTAATGGCCATCGATCAGATCTGTAGCGGACCCGACGATCTTACCATTATGGAGGTAAATATATATTTGCACTAGCAGCCCGTCCCGGCTTCGCACGGGGTAGACAATTATTTATTTTTGGAAATTTGGATTGTTGTAGTGACATAACTACAATAGTTGGACATATGCTACCGCGGAGTTTTTTGTAGATATTATGATGTTCTTTAATATTGTTGTACATATTGTTCTATCGCTAATAGTTTCGGCAGCGCATTCGACGAAAGACATTTTAAGACTAATTTTTCTACACCTTCGGTTACATTGTTCAAATTTTACCAAGGATCCCTAATTTTTTTCAAAATGAAATGTAGCCTATACCAAATTGGAAGAATGTAGCATTATATAGGGGAAAGAATTTTTTAAATCGGTCCAGTACTTTTTGAGCCTATTCATTACAAACATACAAAAATAGGTACAAATCTTTCCTCTTTATAATATTAGTATAGATTGAGTTACAGAAATCGTTTCTTTTTTCAGATATGTTGAATTTACAGTATGGTATAATGTTTTGGTTTCTTGATATATTTATTATCGTGATTGCAGAAAGCACGAGCGCTGTCTCGTCCCACGGAGGAGTGGGGTCCATCGGCGACTGCTGTGATGCGACACGAGACGGAGCTGTCGCCCCCCGTTCTGCTGCTTCACGGCCGTCCCGTGCTTCGTGAACGCGGTGCTTGACCCCCGCATACTCATCCGCTTGTTGCCATGCGGAAGGTAAATATACTAATCACATTTATAAATAAACACACTCAAAAACAAATTTCTTATTAACTTTTCCACTAATTTTCCTGTAGACATCACAAGATGGTGGAGATTCAACCTCTATTACCAGTGGAATAGAAAATGAAATTAAAAAGCCTGGAGCAATTGGAAAAACAAAAAAGAATTCCATTAAACGGAAAGCGCAGAATTTCAGCCACGAATCTGATGATGCCGTTATTGAGCCACTCTTACAGAAAGATAAAGAAAAGCCCGAAACAACAAAGCCAAGTGCCAAATTTAACATTTTGTCAAAAACTAAGACTGACGATATGAGTGAAAAAGGAACCGATAAGGACAAACTAATAACGAATGACAAACTGCAGAAGTCAGGTATATCGAATGCTTCTGATATCACTGACAAAATATTATCTTCTTCTAATTCGAAAGAAAACAATGTACCTAAAATAACAAGTGCCAATGCTCCTTTACATAATCACATGAATACCAACGTATTTGGTTCACCTGATGGCTTAAAAGGATTTGTTGCACCAAAAAGCCAAATTTTAGTAGAGATTGATGGTTGTAAGCAGGTCGGATATAATCCAAGTCCATTAATATTCACAACAGCGAAAATACATACTGATGGAAAAACGAAACACATGGAACCAGTTCAAGTAACTCCAGTACCAATTCTATCAACAATTGAAGTGAGTGTCTTGAAAAGTGGAGGCAATGCATCTGAAAACTCTAGTCAAGTGAGCTCCAATATCAGTACAGTATATGCGATCCCTCATAGTAGCAAACATATAATAGAACCAACCTACAAAGCCGTCAATAATATACCAACGACACAAAATAAAGCAGTTATTGACAACAAGATCTCTAGTATAATAAGCACTGAATTAGATAAGACCTCAAAAGTATTATCATCTAGCAAAGAAGTAAAACCAACACCATCTAAAGTAACTCCTACCGGAATACCAGATAATACGTCGGGGAATAAAAGCTTTACTAAAGAAAATAAATCAGAGAAAGATGAGAAACATATAAAACCACCTATATCACAGATTGGTAATTATAGTGATGTCAAAGCTATATCAAGTTCGATTGCTACGACGAAATCTGTTCCAACTAATAATTCTGTGAAAGATAGTGGAGTGTTTGATAAAACTAAAGATAAGTTAGAAACACTTCGGCAACCTGAACATAAAATTGAATTGACTAAGACTGCTAAACTAGACAGCACCGACTCACGAAAAAACAAAGAACTTGATGACATTAAGACAAGTAAGGACAAAATTAAAGAAACTTCAAATACTTTCACTAATAACAGGCAATTGCAGCGCCAAAGTATTATAGACAAGGAAGATATGATATCGAATATAAAACCAGCTAACGATTTCAAAACCACAATTAAATCAGTTGATAGTCAAAAGAATAAATCAGCAGACAGTCAAAAGTCCTCTAAAATTGAAACCAGTGACAAAACTAAATTGCCAAAGCTCAGTGCCAATAGTATTCCAGTAACTAATGTACCAAATAATAACAACACTAATACTAATATAGCACCTACCTTATCCACAAATGTAAATAAAAATGTTAGTGCCAATAAATCATCAATTTCTTCATCTGTTGTAAAATCACCTAATCCAACAACTAAAAACTTGTCGGAAGGTAAGTCACCTGCTACAATAACTACAACTTCATCTGCTGGCAAAATATCTACTTCAGCAACTACCCCGTTAACTACCAATAAGACGATGGTATCAACAATGAGTTCGTCGGATGCAACTGCATCGACAATCAATAAAAATATGTTTACTCCTGTCTCTACAACAGCTCCTGTAAAAAAGACATCTGTCCCCAGCACCACAGATTCGTTGACCAATAAAACAGTGCCTGCATCGGTGACAGCAGCTTCTAAAAAAGTTACTGTTCCGTCAACTATAAAGACAGACAACAAATCAGCTATTGCATCCACAGCTATAACTAACGCTCCGAGTAACAAGACGTCTCAGTCAATAACATCTTCAGGAGCAAATAAGGGGCATAATCCTATAGTTACTACATCAACGGTTAAAATGACTTCAGGGCCTCATACCACGACGACATGTGACAAAACCAGCACATCGAATTCAATTTCATCAGCCAAATCTATTACTTCAAACACTGCTTTAGCAAAACCGACTGCTACAAATGCGTCTTCAGTTTCAAAAACTTTAAATACTGAAAAATCATCTGTTACTGCTACTTCTGGAAACATCAAACCAGAGGTAACGAAAGCAAGCTCCAATGTTAAATCACAAGAAACAAACATTCAATCCAAACCTACAAGTTCTATAACTACTACGAAACCATCAAAAAATTCATCATCTGTAACTCCTGTAACCACTTCCCAAATGATTGATACAACTAAATCACAGAATACAATAACGACAGCGAAACCGATATCAAGTAAAACAATTCCACAGACCATAGTAGATAAATCAACAGACGTCGCACCAAACAGCTCGACAAGCAACGAAAAACCTTTATCAGTAAAAAGTAGTGGCACATCAACAACTTTAGCTACAACGAGTGGAGTGTCAAACGTTACAGTTACTGCTGCTGCAACTTCTTCTACCTTGGCTTCTTCTGGATCATCATCGAAAACTACCGAAGGAAATAAACAAAATGAATCAAAGTCGAAAGAATTAAGTAATGGTAGCAAAAGTTTAAAAGCTTAACAGTTATTACGAAATGAGTTTGGGTTTTTAGGAGATATACAAGTGGCTCAATCCATAGTTGTAATGATAATAATTAATTTGTATAACGAAGTATTCCAAAATTTATCACAAGGTATAATGTACAATCTAGTCATCAAGATGCTTGTATTCTAGGTTGCACAACTCACTTTTCTTATGATATAGATATTTCCTTATTCCTCGCTCAGCGTAGTGGAATAGTGTGTTATAAATAGCTGTAAATACCTATCATAGTACATTATGTGAACTGAATGGTCAATGTGTCTAATCTTCTGTATGCATGAAATCATACTAATAATTATATTAGGTACTTAGTTAAAGGTGCGTGTTGGAGTAGAAATATTTGTAGGTAAAGGTTGACCCGTGTAACACGTGTATTTGCTCATGGTAAATAAATGAAAGGAATTGAAAAGTTTATAAAAACTGTTAATTATACTTTGAATAGAAAAATAATTACTTAATTTAAATCAGAATTTTTACCTTCCAAGTGCCATTTCGAAGCCTGTTTGAAAATATGCATAGCAATATTACCGATTAGTTACCAAAACATGGAATGTTATACGTTGACGGACATACGGATGGTAGGTTAGTGGTGCTAAGAAAGACATATTTTTCATAGACAATATTATTATTATATTTTCGATACCATTTAGAGATGAATACCTAGTTTCATCTCACAGTGTCAATTTATATCATTATTAAATTGATGTGTATCTATCATTGACAACCAGAAATGAAGTAAATAAAATATAATATGTATTATTCATTGCACCTATTTATAGGTGCTCTGTAAATTCATTTATCAATGACGAGAGAAAATTATAAAAACGCAGGGTAGAAACTGATAATACAAGAATTATTAATTTAATAATAGCAATCTAAAATTCATTAATGTATGTTTGAAGATTGAGTATTATTTTTTTAGAAAGCTAATTTGCGGCGGATGATATAACATATATTATTTCATTTTGAACAGAAACTTGACTTAACCAATGAAGGCAAAGCACAATATTGGAATGATGTCCGGTAAAATCTAGTATTATGGCTCCCGTTGCATTTGATACTTGAGCTTTTAAGATGAGAATGTGTGCATACCATGAAGGTGTAGTAAGATACCATACTTCTTCATAGCAAGATCGTTGCTCCCAAAAAATCTTAATCGATTAAAAGAGCAGATTGTAAGATTCCATCGTACAAAGCACTCAGCAAGCAAAATTATTTATTACATTGTCAAATTAAAAAAATATATTTTCTTTTAATTGTATAAATTGATTGTCAAACAATAGACTTATAATACAATAGTACGGTTCGTATGAGAGGTATGTACATTAATTTTATCAATGCAGCTGCAACATGTTTACAAATATTAGATACAAACTTAGTTGTCAAATAACACCAACGTCCCAGCACAATTGTTATTGTAGTAGATCGTCCAGTTAATAATGAATTCCGTCTGTAAATGCACAAAACATTTTATTTTCTGTTTCGATAGTATGTCATAAATAAGTCTCAAATAGTTTCAATAGTAATACATAGTTACTGGATGGCGGAATACATTTTTACGATAAAACACAGCAGATTTTAAGAAACATATTTTGAGAGAGATGAGATGGATGTCTCCCATGTATTAAACCAATAATCACACGGAAAAATATAAGGTCAGTTCCAATTTACAATGTCTTTTTAGATACTGCCTGAAACCCTATTTTAACAGTAGAAGACGACCATATAAATAATATTTTGAATTAATTTTACTTAGCGAACGAATTTAATGAGCTTTCTTTACATACAGCAACTCAGTGTGTTAAAGAAACTGTAGCTGGAGAATGAAGCGAGGTTAGAGTAGGATTTGAATTTCAGTTATTTTTAATCATCTGTCTAATTTGATGAAATTAAAACCATACATAAAGTTACAGCAGGATTCGTGAACAATATTTGATCGCCTGAAGAACTGAATAAATGACTGACTCCGACAGTAAGAACAGTTTGTCTGATTGTGAGGGTAATGCTGATTGGATAGATGTCCGTTATAATTTCAGTCCCTAGCAGTAGATATTTTCAACTCTCATGAATATAAATCGATTATAAATTAAAATCTTCCCAAAGATAAAATCGAGCAAATAAAATTTTGGAATAATAACACGTGTTATAAAAATTAGAAAAAATATTTTGTTAATATATTATTTGTCTATTTAGAAATAGTCTTGTATTAAAAATTTGGAACGTATTGTGACTTTCTTCAACAGTTCACCCGTTATAATATAATATCTACATGTGAAGTAGGTATCATATATTATTATTTGTTATTTGTTTGTACTAGGTTAGAAATTAACTCATTATGTGATGCCTAGCCAAATGTGTAAGTCAGTTAAATATTATAAAAAAATAAACTATAATAATACCGCATAATAAAATAAATGTAATACAAATTTTATAAACTGCCATAGAAAATAGATTTTCTTATAAACCGTTTATTTTTGTGTATTAGAACGTGTTAAGGTTTTAGTTTGTGTAAAAGGTTCGTTTATTAAAAGTTCACATATCTCTTTCTTCTTATATCGTCGGATAAATGCAATCTTATTAGAAACTATGTGTGTAATATCTTCCTAAATGTTGTATTTGCCACCATTTTGCACAAAGACGTTATTTTGCACCTTACCTTACAAACTAAATAAATACCTATTCCATGTAAGTAGATAGATTATTTTGTTACGTAATTAGTAATTAGAATGGGTAGGCAAACGTTCACTACAATTTTCATTGTAAACTTGAATGTAGTTACATACTTTGTTTGTTTATTGTATCGACTTCTCTGTATGTTAAATATTTATTGGGCATATTGGAATAATACTTAATAATTTATTAGACAAGAATTAATAATGGTTCATTAGTAGATGCTTTCGAAGTATTAAGAGTTCTTTGCACTGTTGATGAGTATTTAAATTCAATTATTAAAGAACGATTGCGTAAGTAGGTACCTTAACTTAAACTGTAGATATCAAGTTGGTAGATTAGATTTGTCGTTTAGATACTTTACTGAAATTGTAGGTTTATAGAATCTAAGAAAAATAATATTGTATTTAAATTAAGTTGTTATAATTTTTTAGATAACTTTATTTTGATAACTATCATATTTTATCCTGTAGGTACTGAATTTATAAATGAACCTACCTGAAGATTTGTATGATTATTGAATATGTAGTTCACCTATTTGTTTTTGAATAGGTACCTACCCGTTTAGTTGTCCAAACATACATAGGGTTGTTCGTAGGACGAGGTAATTGTGTAGTGGTGGAGCGCGCAGGCGCCGGCGCCGGATCGGTTCTCCCGCACGGCGGCGGAGCAGGTGTCGCTGGTAGGGTAGCTATGTGTTACGGCGGAAAGCACGGTGACGAACGATACAGATGCAAACTCACCGATACAGGGCAATATGGATATTGTGTATTTCCAAAATACGTATGTTTCTACGTGACAATTAAACGCCTAAATTGATTAGCATATTGTTGTTGAACTTGATGTATTTTAGAGAATTATTGATCAAATCGATGTTATATAGATGTTTATTGTAAATATTAGCTTTAATTGAAGCCAAAGAAATATGGAATGGTCTAGAGTGTTATAGAAGGCTGTATTTTTGGGTGATATTTTAGAAGGATGGCATCATATCTTTCATAACATTATATAAAATAACACGATATAACTGTCTAATAATAACAGATATGAGCTGGAGATGGACATAGAAAAGGTAATGATGTGATAAATGCAAATGGATTTTAGTTTTAGTGTTGTTGTGCTATTAATAAAATATGTTCCAATGTGGTTATTTGCTGTTTTCTTTTATTTATAATCCTTGCTCTTCCCTTTATACTAGAGGTATTTCCAGAAACCTTCGAGTAATAAAACTTTCAGAAATTCCATGAATTAATCAATCATAATTAAGTGTCCCTTCGTCCAGCATACTCACCATGGAATCCTGATATTTCATGAATGTCAAAAAACTGTTCTGAAATAGTGCTAAATAGTGCCCAAAGGAAAAAAATAGTGCTCTTGTACTTGCGAAGTTATAGCCATAGTTCGATGAGTATGCTGGACGAAGGTTTCGCCCAGCATACTCACCTCCGTCCGGAGAATCTGTATACGCTTCAAACATAATTCATACTTCAAAAAATAGTTCCCAAATAGTGCCAAACGGTGCCCAAAAAGAAAAAACAGTGCTCGAATAACTTCGGAGTTATAGGCTTCGTTCAGTGAGTATGCTGGGCGTAGGTTCTACGCCCAGCATACTCACCTCAGTGCGCGAATATCGAACGAGCTATAGGTACAATTTACGTCTCAAAAAATTGTGCTTGAAATAGTGCCCAATATCAGTCCAATTTTTGCTTGACTTTTGACCTAGAAAACCATTAAATTTGATTGTAAACTTCTACATACATTACATTGAGTACAGTCGAATACAATATTATTAACTTTCTTTCTAACAATTTTTGTCTTGTGTAAATTATTAATTGTCTATGTAAGGGAGTATTTACTTTAGAATCGCAATATTATTAATTACACATTATTTTAATAATACTTTATAATAATATGATTAAGCCTTCGCGCGTCGCATGGGACCCCGGTAGCTAGGAACAATGATTTTATATATTTTGTCTAGATCACGGCGCTTGAAGGATTAAGATATCAAATGAAGTAAATCATGCATGAAAAATAAAGTTGCTGTTATTAATGCTTACATTACAACTGACAAAATTATTCAAAATAATCATTTTCCGGATCAAGGACGGTACCACAACGTTTACGGAATTGACCTGTATTCCTCATGTGATAAAGTTCAATATAGTGTGGCAGTAATGGATGCACGTACGGTCAATAGGTATGGGGCTTACGACGCGCGGCGCCCGCGACGCAAATGAATATGTTTATGTTTAAATACTAGATGGCGCTGCCCTAACATCTTACGATTATTAGACAAGACTGATCTGTATTTTGAAGGTGATAAGGGTCCATTTTGTGTCACAAAGCGAACTAGTTAACTAGAATTCTGATTACTTTGGCCCTTTAAATAGTAATAAATAACGTAAGTAATTAAAAATGTTTTTTATTGCTAAACCTTTCATTGATGAAACTATTGGAAAGAGTTTTAAAAATTTGTATAACTATGTCACAGTACTAGTTTTGACTGGTTATAAGTTTTGCCTGCAACATATATACAAAAAGAAACTGTATAATTTCCTTTTTACAATTTTTCAAGATATTAATTTTATTGGCTGCAAATGACTGTTTTTATTCAGACAAACACACAATGCAATGAAGTAATAGACTTCATTTACGCTTAAAGTTTCATTCATTTATTATTATTTATAAAATATATAATAATGCATTTAATCGAAAGTTTTTGACATGTGAGAAAATACCATAATTATTTCCAATAACATGAAGTCTACAATTAGAAAGTTTAATATTTTTGTCCAAAAACATGTGTCGACGACTGTACCCCATTTTACGTTAGTATGTAGAAGTTTACATTAAAATTTAATGGTTTTCTAAGTCAAAAGTCAAGCAAAAATTGGACTGATATTGGGCACTATTTCAAGCACAATTTTTTGAGACGTAAATTGTACCTATAGCTCGTTCGATATTCGCGCACTGAGGTGAGTATGCTGGGCGTAGAACCTACGCCCAGCATACTCACTGAACGAAGCCTATAACTCCGAAGTTATTCGAGCACTGTTTTTTCTTTTTGGGCACCGTTTGGCACTATTTGGGAACTATTTTTTGAAGTATGAATTATGTTTGAAGCGTATACAGATTCTCCGGACGGAGGTGAGTATGCTGGGCGAAACCTTCGTCCAGCATACTCATCGAACTATGGCTATAACTTCGCAAGTACAAGAGCACTATTTTTTTCCTTTGGGCACTATTTAGCACTATTTCAGAACAGTTTTTTGACATTCATGAAATATCAGGATTCCATGGTGAGTATGCTGGACGAAGGGACACATAATTAAAATAACGTTAGAAGTGGTGTTCCGCAAGGTAACATCATTGGTCAAACGCAATTAATATAAGTACAATTTTGTTAATTTCTCTATTCAATTGCATTAACTATACCAATTACATATTATCAGCAATAGTTTTGATGAAAAGTCAATAATAGATATTAGATGGAATCCTCAGATATAAAGATAAACAAAACGATAATGTTACCGGCTTAATGAAAAATATCAATATTTTCATAGTTGAAGTCTTAAAACATACGATGCAACGAAGAATAAGAATTTGTACAGTGAATGTGAAAAACAAACAAACTAACAATGTGTTCAACACTCTGTATAAGTATCTAAGTGTAAACACAATTCTACTTTTTCTTCACTTGCGTTGAATAATAATGATATGCCGATTCTTACAATGGCCTTATTGAGCTGTATAGAATTTAAATTAATATTGAAACTTGCTATAACCGTGTTTGTAGACCTAGTCCTAGAAAAAAGTGGCAATTGAAAAAAATTCTATAAACAATTAGTAAATAAATAGGTAAGTATTCTGTACCCTTGAATACCTAGTTGCATATTTTTATACATTTTTTTTATATTAGATGAGACTGACGTTTGACCACTATCTCGCCTGGTGGAATTTTCATATATCTAATGTGTCATAATAATTTTTGTCTACATTTCCAGCCAAAGTTTTTCTTTAAGAAATACCAATAGGAATTGAGAGTACTTTCGAATATTTGTTGTCTAATATGATTTATAAAATTGACGAATAAATAAATGAATACAATTAAGAGGTACCCTACGAATCAGAGAGATTAAACAGTTAACCGTAAAATTAGATTCCACAACCAATGCTATTATCAAAATTACAAAAATTGTTACTTATTGAAAAAGTGTCGAAAACGTAAGGTATTACAAAACAATCATTTCAAATGACATCTCAGTGGCAACATCAAATTCCGAGTGAGTATTCATTGGGGACACGCAGTTAGACGGTGGTACACGCGCAACATGAGTTATTAGCTTCGATTCGAGCTGTGAAGGCTTTTATCGTGGTGACGTCGAACTTTCTTTAACTGCTTTTATTTTTGCTGACATTCGAGTCGGTGAGCCGCCGTGAGCGCACGCCGACGACGCTCCGCTCGCGCCCTCCCTCAGTTC